GCTACTGCTGACTGAAGAGAGATGCCCGCAGATGCCCAAATCCTCAATATGCAAAAAGTAACACTGAAGGTGGCGATTGTGAGAGTCAGCATTTGGCCTACATTCTATGGCTCTCGTCACAAGAACTTAAGTCCTCCAGACTAACCCCTCATCACTGCTGTACTTGAACACCTCAGCAGTGGCATGGAATTGGGTACATCTGTGGTTAGCTGCTCTCACATAATCTCATAAAGACCTAGGCCTACAGTGGATGACTGCAAAGCCTTGATCTTTCAGCACTTGTTCTTTCTTGCCAGCCATTTGGAGCTGGAGAAGCAACCCTGGTACATGTAGGTTTTGAAATAATTCTCCACCCAGTATGTCCAAATCTGGCTTTATAGTTTTGAACTTGTTATAGACAGCCACAATCTTGTAAGGGAGCTGTTCTTTCCATTACCGAAGTCTGTGTGGAAACTGCTCTCAGCTTCACAGTAGTGGGCCATCACCACTTGCCACAATCACACTACCTGACAGAATCAGATTTTGATGGTTTCCTTTGCTAGGCTTACAGGTGTTACATGTAGAGAAATTTATACAATTACTCATTACTATGAGGGTTTATAACCAACTTCCTGTAAAGGAAGGTGTAAGCATCTTGACTTCTCTTCCAACTACAGTAAGAAACGTAAAAAAAGAAGTGGGAAACTACATGTATGATCATAACATGGCAACCAAGAAAATCTTATCCAAGTGTTTGAAAACACGTCAAATAAGCATGCATAATTAAATAATGGAAAATGTACTAAAAATACTACCACAGTACTACAAATTTAAACAATGCAACCATTCTTTTACTTTAACCCCTGAAAGTGCACCCATGCTTCATTTAACTTTCATTTTTGTTTTGCTATTTTAAATTTGTACTTTAGAGCCTTTTTGGTTTCAATCCAATGTACATGTAAATTTCCATGTTCATTAGCAAAACTGTGATGTCATTCCAAGTACTGGATCTTAAACTGCTGGAAATTTGCATCGTAAATTTCTGTCTTTAGCAATTGTTGTGGCAGTATATGGCAACAAGCCAGTGAACAACCTTCTCTCAGAAATGTTTTGGATGAGAAAATTAGTGGTGCCGAATTTTAATACGAAGGCCTGCAAATGATCAGTGGCTCGTTTGATTTACACTACAGCACCCTCACTTGTACAGAAAAGCTTGGACAATTTGTGTGTGTGTTGAATAACATGCACCTTTCAGCTACACTTCACTCTAAAAGGTTTCAATTTTTTCATGAGATGAAGAATATTCACAAGTGAGCTAAGTCAGTCTGACAAAATTCATTGCATGCATCCTTTAACAAGGTAATGATTTTAAAAGATGACATCATGCATACAATTGCAGATACAGTGCTTTTTCCAGCGAAATGAAAATGCAGTTTTGATTAAGCTCAATAGTTTTCAGACAAAGTAAAATGTTGAAACAGATCGCCACAAAATTGGAGGGTTCATTTTGCTCATTCAAATAAAATAATAAATATTACGTGTATAGTATCTTGCAGAAAACATTAACCATAACAGTCCTGAAACCTCCAATTCAGTAAATAGGGTTAAATGTTTAAAACAAGTACTATTGGTAAAACATAAGGAAAACTAAGCCAGAGATTGTTGGCAAAATGTAATATTCTGAAACAGTTTTTTGTCATAAGTTAGTTCCTGTACACTGATTCTAGAACACTGAGGACAATGGGTGTGTACAAAAGAGTACTTTAACTGTCATTTTTGACACTGTAATTCCAAAAGGTGTGCCCAAATGTGCTTCACCTAGAAATACACCAGTTAACTCATATTCCATCACAGAGCATGTGTGGTGTCAAAATAATGGTGTCAATAATCATCAATCTCATTGCCCTCAAGAATTTACTTCAAATAGCACGAGTCAGATTTTGCAATAACTACCTCAATTCCCCCCCCAGAAATGACAATGGAATCTTCCCAGTCAGAATTACATGTCTAAACATTTATAAAAATTTTAATGTCCTCCAGTCTCCAGCTATTTGAAATAAATTCTCCACATGATTCTCCATTCTAATGTCGATACATGCATGTTACACACGTGACATTTTTCCATGAAACCTGGACAAAGTCATATTCATGTGCACATTCATAATGACGTTGAAAAGTTTTTAAAATAGGAGGTACATGTATTTGTTGTTTGAAGTGACATACATGTATGTGTTTAATTAACATCAGTAGCTTTCTTGCCTGGGAATGGTATTCAGATCCAAATCCATAATATCTTTTTTCAATTAATTGTGCATTTAAAATAAGGATTTTTCATTCTCCAAAGCCCTAATACTGGTAGAATTTTGTGAATAGACACTCTTATCTGTCCAAGTTTTGTGGAAAAATGCTACATATTTGCAAAAGAATGACTGAACAAAGAAACATTTACTTAGTGAGATACTCTACACGCAAGAAAAAGACCTCCAGAAAAAAGGGGGAAAAGATACCTTGAAATGTTTGCTATTTTTTTCATTTGAAAACACTTTCCTTATAATGAAATGAATAGAAACCTGCAAAAGTCACACGGCAATAGGTGAAATCTCAGGATTAATCCACATACATGTACATATAAGTATGGTCAGTGTTTATCATATGTGAAACCATGCACGGTTGGAATAGAAAATAATCAAGGAAATATGACAATGTAAACCGCAATGAACCACAGCTTGGAAAAGTAACACAGACGTAATTCAAGACGTAGACATCATCTGCCAATTTTTGTGCTTCACTTCTCAGACAATAACAGAGAAATAGGCTTTACACTGGCATGACCACTACATGTATTGTGCATGTACATGATTTCATCACTCACGTTTTGACAACTCATTTTTTGAGCAACGTTTTCAGAATATTCAAAGATGACAATGAAAGTATTTTGCATGTAATAACAACCGAGGACTCTTCGGCAAAAATAGCCTTCAACATAACTGAGGACTTATAACTCATTTCCCAAATTATGTTTTTCACCTATCTAATCCAGCTTTTTGGTTTGAAATAAAAATTGCTTGGCAACTCCTGATGTGAGCACATAAATGTACAAAAACTTTCACTTTCTCGAAAAACAGCAATTCAAAAGCAGTTCCTCTTTATAGTTCTCCTCAGACATGAATTTATACACGGGGCCTTAATGAAATTACAGTAAAGAATTGAGAAACAAAAGAAGAATTCATAGGTTTGATTCAGGTATTTTAGGAAGAGAAGGAAGTGAAGAAAGTGACTATCCCTAGCTGCCAAACACCAGGAAAGCACTGCAATTTTCTCATTGCTACAAGGATTCCTAATATTACTTCACACAATCTGAACTCTTTTCATTGTGAGAAGTATTATGCCTCTGGCATTATTGACAGGCACTTTTTATGGTTTGTTTTATTCAGTCTTGCTAAAGCATTAAGCATAGTGCTCGATAGTTTGAAAACAGTGTGTGGTGGTACCGGTAGAGCCAAAGTTATCAAAAGATTTTTGTCATTGAGAGTAACAGCCCCAACTGGATCTCATTCTACCTGATTGTACTGTACATGTACAACATATTGTACACAATTTGTGCTTCCAGGTGCTGTAAGGAAACCAATTTCCAGTTTGATTATAGATTCTTCAGTCCTCAAAAGACAATGATTCTACATATTTTTGCCTATCAATGGTTTTATTAGTGTACCGTCATTTTGGAACAATTGATTTGACAGCTACGGTAAAATCATAATTTTATGGCATTTCAGAGTCAAGAGCCAAAAAATCCTTGCTGGAAAAAGTTCCATATCTATTTTAGTTTCAATCAACATGGGCTTGAACCAAAGAAATTAAAAGCTTGCTCTCTTTTGTCCCATTCCGTAATTACTCTTGGTATCCTCTTTATTGCTAATATCCTGGCTCCTGCTGTAGTGCACTGAGTTCTGAACGATTTGACATCTATAAAGATGATGGAGTGTACCCAGCTCCCTCCAAACTAAGCATGCTATATGGATGACTGTGAAGGACTCCAGTGTTCATTTTGGCCCCCATCTACATGTAACAAGCATTGCATAAATGCTGCAGAAGTCAAGGGGCCCATTGTTTTGCTGCCTTGATCCAAGCAAAACCCTTCTTTGTCGGTAAGAACAATCTTCTGTCATTTTCTGTCAAAACACAATTACTGAAGTATCTGCTATACTTCAGGTTCTTCAAATTGATGTCAGATTTGAAATTTGTTGCTGTATTCATCTGAAATGAGTTATCCACTTGCTGCCAATTAATTTTCCACCTGACAGTACTTGGAATTTTTGGACAAAATGTCCATAGATTTCAGCATGCTCTGTTCAGTTTGGATGGAGTAGGTTACTCTAGGAGTAACTGGAATGAACTCACCCAATGATGCCCTATTCAGACTACATGGGAATGCAGCAGGTCTCAGGTTGTCTGATGTTGCTTTGAATGGCAGCAGCGTTCAAGCATGTATCACCACCTGTGAAGAAAATACAATCAATCATCAGTGATCTAATGATGAATAAACTTTGAAAACATCTTTCCATTTTTTGTTGTTTCCTTGCTGGTCCATTGCAAAATCTGTGGGAAACCATTTTCTTTACGAGTATTTTCTGACAAAAGCTTAAATAATTTAAGGCTCCCATATTTTCATCTTTGTAATCCATGCCTTTGTCATGACTGACAGCCTCTCTTACAAGCTCAAATATCAGAGATGCCACTTTTCCGATTTTAATCGGAAATATGACTTTTTGGAAATATGTTTAAATATTGACCTTTGACACATGTAAATCGCTTGTCATGGACAGCTCGATGCCTACCAACTACCGTCATGACCATAAGGCTGCATACTTCCGATCATGTCATGTTTGTATCTTTTTGAGTAAAAAACAGCAGGCTGGCCTACATGTAGGCTGCAATGATCACGAAAGAACTTTGTTTTTATAGCCAACTACACGATGAAGATGCACGTTGTGTACATGCACGCAGACCCCTGCCATTAACCCTAACACTCCTCAGTCCTCCAACAGGTGAAGGATTGAGGAGTTAATACGTATAAAACCGACACCGTGTGATTTTCCAAATTTTTGGCATAGGCTAGTGGCATCTCTGAAATATAAAACAAGGTGTTGAGGCATCTTTATCAAACAGCCCTCCGCATTCTACCATAGTAATGGTGGTGTTGAGCCACATTGAGAGTTTTCATTCAATCTGAGGAACTATCCACTCTCCCCATTCTGTACATTCCAGCATAGAGTTTGAAGGAAGAACTGTGCTTACCTTTTGGGGGACCTTGATAGAAGCTCTGTGTCAACCTTCACAAAAGCACCCTGTCTATCAGCCAGATTGTCAAATCTAAATGGGAAGATACTGGTTGAAGAAAGTGACAATAACATCTCTCTGGAAAGATATCAAAATCAAGGGAGACTGAGGAAGAGCTTCACTCCTAAAATGCACTGCAAAAACAGGGCTGCCATGTTGGCATTACTGTGTACATGTACCAAAAAGACAAGTCATTCATGCTGTACATGGCCTGTGTACAGCATGCTTTACACTGCACAGCACAGTGCCACTGACTCCACATTCAAGCCTATTGTTCTGATTTCCACACCCTGCAATGCCCTCACAAAAGAAAAGCCCTCTGCCTGAGAACCAAGACCAATCAGAAAGCAGGAGTCTTTCATGGACCAATCAAGGCTCCCCTACCCTGAATTTACAGCAAGAATTTAAATAAATTCAAAGTGGTACTCTAATTATGAAGACAATTATCATAAATCTACAGTTTCAGTTAACATGATCCAAACTATGAATTGTGTCTCAAAATACACTGTAATATATTCCATTCATAAAGAGAAAAAATGGTTCAATAAGAGCTTTTGAATTACGCGGGGTGGGCAAAAAATGAAGAAAGGGTGATGATGTCATAACACATGCTATGACCCCGCGTGACGTATATGTTGGTAGACTGACCATGTGACTGACCTTTGCCTTTCATGTGTTCGAACAAATGCAGCCGGATATGGGGCCTGCATTATTCGTGCCTGTTATCTGTAGCGCCACAGACCCTATACGACTGGTATCCTGGGTTTGTGTGTATCATTTTATTCCAAAATAGTGCCCCAACGAATGGTCAGCACCTTTTCGTGGCATTGATATATGGAACTATATTTGGAGAATAAAGTACCAGACCATTCTTTGCATGCCATGGCACGCAAATGTTCCCAAAGCCATTCTTGTCTTGCGAGTTTCTCTCTGTTACTTTGTGCTGAATGTTCAATTTTATGCCGTATTTACTGTCTGTTTCTGCCTGTTTCCCCACACTGTTGCAGACCTGCCAATAGTTTCAGAAACTCCAATGCGTGAGATTGTTTTGTCCGATTGAAACCCATGTCCATTAAAATGCATAAACATATCGTGATGTCATAAATAGAATAAAATATTCATGGTGTGTTTTTGGTGGCTGCACCAGGACATCGTGGAAAAATCCAGTTGTACATGTAGCTTTCCTGTCCTTTGCAAAAGGGGAAAGTGTACAACAAAGTTGGGTTTGCTTCGTGAACAATACACAGTTAGACCTCGTCCTCACTGAGTGGTCCAAGGTGTGTTCTGCACACTTCAGCAACGAGTATGTCGACTGTTCATACCGGACGAAAATTAGTCTCAATACTCCTAACAAGTTCAAGTTAGCAGAAGGGGCTGTACCTAAAATCAAGGCCCAGTCAATCTCAGAAAGCACAACCACAAGTCATGATGTTGACTGCACTGAAACATTGGGCGGTGAAAAGCAGGGTCAGGGCGAAAAGTCGGCAGGAACATTCCAAAAGAGGCAGAGGGCCAGGGTATGTCGTATTCACTACTGAGCATAGGCTGCTGGTTTAGCCAAAGCCGACTTGTTTAAAAAAAAAAAAAATGAAAAATGGGGGGAAATATGAAGGAGAATGAAAATAAGGGTTGCCACTCTGCTACTAACGTTATTTGGACATGCTGGAGTGAGAGAAGTTGGCACTCGGGTCTTCAAACATTTTTACCATGTTTTACAGTCCGGCCTAAGCTACTGCATTTTGGGGGAGCCCCAAGTAGTGCTGCATCCTTCTGCCACTACGTTTTTTTTTACATACCATTTTAATAAATGTCTGTCATGCCAGTTGATGCTCTGAAAAAAACTGAATCTGGGACTGAAAAAAATGTTCACATTTTGATGTTAAATACTTTAAAAAAAATTCAATTCCCTTTTGACTTTGTATCCAATGATGATTGTAAGGCCTTGCCAACAATGGTGCACTATTTTGTACATATTGATTTCTGAATTTTGTTAAATTATCCTCTTTCAAACACTGCATGTGGACCATTTCGTTTCAGATTCCTGCAACCTACCATCCTCAAGGACTGTCCTCAAGGACTATTGGTCATGATCTCCAGTCAGCTACAATCCATGGTTCGGTGAGATGTTTGCCAGGGATAGATTTGAGGCCATTTATCACTCTATGTTGCATGCTTCTGCCATTTATGCTAAATCAAAGGACAAGATTGAACCCTTTGTGAACACTCTTGTTGAAAGGTTCCAGTCTGCTTTCTACCCATTCACCAGTGTCTGTATTGATGAGATGGGTGATTGGCTGGAAGGGGAGATGGAAGTATAAGCAATACAGCCAATCAAAGCCACGCAAGCATCATATAAAGACCTTCGGACTTTGTAACAGTTCAACTGGGTACCTGTACAATCTCCTTGTTTACATCGGTAAAGAAACATCCTTCAACAAAGATGCTACAACTGGACAGTCAGAAAAGGTTTTTCAGTACCTATTGAAGAACCATGGAAAAGGCCACCATGTATTCGCAGATCGGTACTACACAAGCTACAGCCTCATCTTGGCTCTGTCAGAAGAGGCTGCTGTCCATGTGGCCAATGATGTACCCCGCAATCATGTCGGACGATCACGCTTAGGCAACTAGGCTATAGAGCATGCCTGCGAGAACGCTTAACTTGCTCCCCCCTCACTAGCACTACCATGAACTGCTCTCGAAATCAATTATGCTGTTTATGTAAAGGTTTTTTTATTGTTTCCCGCACCAGCAGTTGGGGCATTTTTTTAAATAATGGAAAAATTAATATTTGCACGTCTGTCAGAAATGAAGAACGAAAAATGGACCAATACAATAGAGCCTTTTATGTGCTTTCATTGCCAGTATCAAGTCATTCATGCGATTGGACAAAGGATTTAGAAAATATGATGTTTGTGGTTGACTGGCCAATCACCACTGCCGTTGTAAAGTAGCGCGGTACCAATATCACAGATGCATGGAAATATGGCATTGTCCATGGGCACGGATGACCTAGGATTGTCATGATTATGTGGTTGAAGACCCCGTCATTTTTTTTTTCTCGTCGCTCCCTATATTTTGAAATGCTTAAGCAATATTTTCTCATGATAATGACCTCACTTTTTATTTATACAATTTTTTTTTCTATTTGGGCCCATGATACAGGTGCGGCTGCTTTAGTACCACATTATTTTCCTGTGATAATAGATACAGCATTATTTTGATCTTTACTTCCCTTTGAAAATATTCTCCAGAGCCCTGAATTAAAACAAAAGGAATCTGGACTAGGCCTACACAATACTTAGGACTAAATGTAAAAACCATCAGGGTAAACAGCCTCTAGAATGAGAAAATACAAAAAAGGAATCATGTCGGAATCAACATGGAGATTCAAACCCGCTCACCTTCAGTTTGCAAACCATCATCCTTATGTGCATGGTGAGCCACTGCAGAAATATGCCATATTTATAAACCGGAAAATAGCGGGGTACATGTATGAATGCTGTATCAATTCTGTAACAGTTACTATTTTTTTAATTGGTGCAGTACATGAGAAGAAATGCCACATTCTTTACTTTTTTTCCTGTAAATGACCCTGCACATGAATCAACATACTTTTACAGCTGCAAGTGGTGTACTGTTGAATGTTTGTGCAATTAAAAAAAAGGAACTTTTTTTCCGACCAAAAATCCATCCAGCTTGGGCACGGTTGCCATGTTTATTTTCACAGTGTGGAAGTTTGCATCATCGTCATCTATTTTACTGAATAATATCCCTCAAACTTAAAATTTCTTGCTCCGTCTCAACCAAATTAATCTTGCAGACAGTTAGCATGATGTTATTATCATGTAACTGAGTGGGTTTTTAATTTTTCATTTTTGTTTTAGGAAAGGAGTACTAAACCACACACAATGCCCATTCTTTGATTACTTTTAATGAACCAACTTTGCTTTCTTTGCGGAAGACTAATGGGTAACAATATTTTTGGGCTTTCCTCTATTTTCTAATTTTTCAGATTTATGTATTTGTTTAAAAAGTTGCACCATATTAATGTGTATGGGGGAAAGTGGAGTGCACATTCAGTACATGGTGTAGTTCTGACTATTCCCTTTTTATTCTGAGGAATGGATCCTTTTTATTTTGAGGCAGAATATTGGTAGCACCTATGTGTATGATGGTATGATGTACGTGAAGAATTTAGTTGGCTCTTTTTGTATTCTCAATGTCCAGAGGAATTTATTTTCATGTTGGCGACAAAAGAAATGTCAAGTCGATTAGTTTTTGTTCATACATAGTGAAATTTGTTAGAATAAAAAATGGAAACCTGGTTAAGTTTGATGATTGTACATTGTGTCAGTGATTACCAATTTGTACATGTACATGTAGGTTGGTTGTATCAGTCAGGTGCACTGGAGACAGAAAAAACACCCTTTTATAATAAATGGTATCAATATATAAAAAAAAAAGATTTTTAAAATGACCATGTAGTCTGATCGTTCAAATAAAAAAATGTGGGGGTGTATTGGAACTATTGTAAATAATTAGTGCATGTATCTGCAAGGTGGTGTTTATAGTTGTGTGAAATTGTTGCTGTTGGACAAAAAAAAACTTTTCATGTATGTCTCCTTCAACAGAATTTTCTTTTATTTAAGATAATTTGAATTTTGAAGTATTGCATTTTTTTAAAGTATACAATAGAAAGTACATGTAGATATTTTTCTCGATATATAATTTCACATTAAATGTTAAGTAATTGCAGAAGTTATGAATAAAAATAGAACTGAAATGTTTATTTACATTAGGTTTCCCCCCCCCATCCGAATACGCTTTCAGGGTTGTTTTTTCATAAGCCTTCGGGGGCATACACTGAGCATGCAGTGTTAAATACAAGTCGGGCAAGGCAAAATCCCAAAATATAATTTACATCTTTCTGGTGCAAATCTATCTTAACAATATTTCTAAGAGTAATTTCTAGTTTGAATATTGAGTACATAATACAGAAGAATGATGACGTGTAGGAATTAATATGAAGATAAAACAAACAAGGGTTGTAATAACTTCATTTTGTGAAAGTCCTATGACTGAACAAGGTGAGATGAAACTTAAGATAGGATATATGTTAGCATACATGATTTACATGTATTTTAAAGTTTATCTATAATTACCATTATCAGGTGCCAAAGTTAACCTTGTGATTAATGTCGCTGAATCTTAAATACAGGTTAACGGGAATTGCTGGATGTTGCAGCTGCATTGTGGAGTGATGCATTAGTCAAGGGGCATTGTGCGGAAAGAGTAACTGTATAATTTGTGTTATTTACATCTGGTGTACTTTGTTTGTGCTTGCAGATCATGGTGAAGATGCTCAAAGGTTTCCTGAAATAGAAGGCTCTAACATCGAGAAAAGTATCGTAAGAGTTAATAAAGGCCCCACAATTTTCAAAACTTCCATAGTTTTCATGTCTATCTTGTAAATAGCGATCTCACATCGCAAAAAAATATGAAGCGTGCCCCCGCCCCCCAAAAACCCCCTTTTGCTCCGCAAGCATGAGATTAGGCGATGACGTCATCGGCAGAACACAGCATGCAGAGCACAGAAGCGCACATGGAATTGTGCACACGCACGTACACGCATTCCTTCGTTTAAAGTGCATTCAACGAAAACATGGCAGAACGGAGCAGTTCATCGGAATCGTCGTCGGACAGCGAAGTAGATCGCGATTTTTCCTACGAATCGTATTCCGATGATAACAGAGACGAGGCTGGGCAAATAATGCCGTATATGTACAAACCAGAGGTTGAAAGCGACGATGATGATGGTGAGCATGAAATTGCTGGTGTGGACTACGACAATGAAGGACGGCTCAACAACATCAACTGGTAATTTCACTAAGCCTTATACGTGTAAATTGGTCGTTCGCGCCACAACCTTGGATCTCTTCCAAAACTTCTAGAAACTTTGTAGTCGTCAGGTTCAGGGCCTGGAATGGTCCTGTGGATTTGCTGAATTGTACCATTATCTAGTGTTTTTCTTAAAGTTATTGACATTTTTATGGAGACCCTCTCGGCAGTGATTGAGTTCGCTTTTAGGCTGTCAGGTGTGTCAGCAAATCTTGTTCCTATATGTTGATAT